GCTATGAACAGGGATTTTAAAACCTGGCATTGTCATATCCTCTGGGCATGCAGGTATGTGTGTGTCCCTCTTGTCCCAGAAGTTCTCTTCTCCCAGCTGAGCAGGGTATTGGCAATGCTAACTAAGGTCCTTTTCAGCTATGGCCACAAATCCACCCTGTGGCCCCCTTGCTAATGGTCTCAAACACTCCCACAGGGTCTTGCCTTTGTTCCCTTGCTTCTCAAAGTGCAGTCCATGGACCAGCAACATTGGTATCACCTGGAAGCTTGTTAGAAAAGAAGGATCCCAGGCCCTAACCCAGCCCTACTGAATCAGAATGTGCAGTTTAACAAGATCCTCACGTGATTCAAATGCACATTCAAATTTGAGTAACACTGCTTTATTCTACTTGAGGCCTGGATGAATGAGCTGACAGGTGACTTAAGCAAAGTTCTGGCTTGGAAGCTACAGGGATTCCAAGGATCTGGGCCCAGAGGTCTAAACGTCTTCTCTAAGAGTAGGTTTGCCAAAAACTTGCTGTGTGACCGTACATACTCTATAATCTTTCTGGAACCTTAGTTCTCCACCTGCCAGGATTAAGAAAAGACAAAGGCCTAGACCAGTGTGATGTATGAGTCCCATTGTAATTGAGCCAACATTAAGCCCAACTTGTACTCCCGGGGAAAGGACATTTGCTGTTGTTTGATTTCACAGTAATAGGGAAGACAGTGCTGCTTTTATGGGCTACACTGGTGATTTTCAATCCAAAGGACTTAAATTAAATGTCCGAGGTGATAAAGCACTTTGTTTCAAACTATATTCTGTCCTTAGTTGGCTGCTATCGAACAGTCACACATGATCTGAGAACAGTGTCTTGAGTTACTGTAAGATTGTGCAGCCCTTTAAAAGTATAAGCCTTTAAACCTAACAGGAAGCCCTGTTGTCAGAGATGGTACAGGTCCAATTCCATCATGAGTCAAGAGAATAGGCTATCACAATCCCCTTCTACCATAAGAATTTTTATTAAGTTCAGGAATGGATGAAATTCACTGCCATGACCTTCATTGTTGACATGGTTTATGTATTTTAATTATAAGGTAAAAGCCTCCAAGGGATGCTTTAACCCAGTGACTCTCAGTGTGTTTGGTCCAGGGACCTCTCGAGGTATTTCCGAGCCCTTCAGGAGATCTGTAAGGTCAAAACTTTTCTCCTAATTATACTAAGACACGAGTTCTTTTTCCACTCTTATTCTCTCATGATTGTACAATGTCGAGTTTTTAAAAAGCTACACGACATGTCATGACATCACCACTCTGATGGCTAATGGGATGTATGTTTCAGTTTTAATTTCTAATATGGTAATATTAATAGATATCATCCATATAAACAAAAGCTCTTTGGGGTCCTCAATGTTTAAGAATGCAAAAGGGTCCTGAAACCTGAAAGTCTGAGATGCCCTGCCTTAACCTAACTGCTTCAAATAAAGTTAGTTCCCTCTTCGCTGACAAGGAATTCTGTAAAGCAAATGCTAAATCTTCTCACCACCGGTCTCCCGCTCTTTTGCATTCAGAGAAATGGTAAGTTTTATTTGTTGGCCATTGATGGTGCCTTTGCAAGGAGTTAGCACCAGGACAAGCTGCTCCCTCCTTTTCCAATCTAGCCAAGGAGCAATTGCAACCAGATGACACTTGGTGACCACACTATTCAGAGCAATTCCCTTCAATAGCTAGGGGAACTCTGAAATGGACAGTTTCTCAGCTGACTCTACTCCACGTGAACTCCTTCTCTGAAAATTCCACTTGTGAATTAAATCCCAAGTTTCCAAAGAAACTTGTGATTCTGCAGAATGAAGGAAGATTTAGAAGTAGGATGCATTCATTCCCACAGGGAAATTACAAGAAACTTGAGTACCTCTTCTCATTGGAAAGGGAAAGTTTGAAAACTTAGATTTTCTTCTAGACTTCAGGGAATGATGTCCTGAAATATTCTCACCAAAGGGCTTTGTACTGTCCACCTGGAAGTAAAGGAAAGAAATAAAACCTCTCATTACCTGTAATGCCTTTCTCCCCCTCAATCGCGAGTCATGCAGGTGAGAAAAGAAGGTTGGGAACAAATTAAATCAGTCTCCAAGTACGTTAAATGTTATCCCAATAGGGGAAGCTGTCCCTGTCTTCACTGAGGCTAGAACACAAAGATATGGGCTAAATGTTAGCATAAAAAAATTAAAGTTGAACAAAAGTTATAGTCTAACCATTGGTAAGGATCAACCTAGAAAAGAGTGAATGAAGTTTATTTTGCAATCTTTTAAAATGGGACAGAGTTTCATGTTCCTAAACAATCTGAGCAGTGCTGGCCTAGGTGGGGCCTTGAAGACAAGGGATTATCACAAAGTGACAGTTCAGCCTTCCATATCCCTTGCCAGTCTGAGTGTCTATATCCTTGAAAAAAAAATAGTGGTGACTGTATTATTTTACCTAAGGTGACCATATTTTCCTAAATAGGACAATATGATTTACAAATAGGTCAAAATACTTGAAATATTAACTCTTCCAGAATATCTATGACATTATAGAGTTGCTGGATTTTTTTTTACCTTGTGTATTTGTTTGTTTAAATTTCAAGAAGGCAGGGTGTAATGTTACTCTTCATTTTACTTATGAAATATATTGATTAGAATTCACAGTCTTCGCAACATTACATCCTCTAAATTTTAATGTTTCTACTTAAAGAAAGATCAGGTATCATTAGGAAATCTGGCTAAATAAAAGAGTTAACATGCATAAGGCACTTAGAAAAGAGGCTGGCACTTAGTAAAGGCTGTATAAGAATTTATTGAATAAAATAAATATCAAGCAAGTTATATTCCCTAAGAAATCTCCCAATATTTTAAGCTTATTGGGCCCATAACAGCATAAACTAAAGTTGTATTTTACAAATATTTTACAAATACAACTTTATTTCAAATGGAATAAATCAAACCATCCAATAGAAATTCAACATTTTTATGATGCCATGTTTGAAGATTGGTTGCTAGATTTCTGCCAGACATTGTTACATAGGTCACCATGAAGAAAACAGCTGTTCTATAGTTTCTAGCCAAAAAAATCTCTGTTTTACCTAAAAGCCACCTCTTTTATATACAGTCATCTCAACAGCACCTTGACTTTGGGCCTGACCTTGCTTCATATATGATGTCTAATATATAAACATCACCGCTAGTGACTTTAAGTCAAATTATCAACTTGACGATAACATCGATAGTTAACTACTGGAGTTATAAGAACTATTGGAGAATAAGTCATGAACTAGAATGCAGAATGGTGTTCATGAAGATTATGAAATATAGGAAATATTTTTAATGTGATAGTAACTTTATATTGAGGAACTGATCTGTATATAGTACAGTATAACTACAACTTTTTGTAAAAATTAAGCTTTATGAATATAAAAAAGGTAAAAGAAAATGCATTAAATAAAATTTTAGTTTATTTTTATTATGTTGGTGAGTAACTGGGTAATTTTTTTGAACTTTTCTATATTTTCCATTACTCTTGTAGTAGTCAAAAAATTTAAGGAGACTACGAGAATAAGTGTGATTAAATTTGCTTACTACTTTCTGAGGGTTAAATCTAAGATAAATTTATTTAAGGGTTTTGAATATGGCACATTGCTTCTTTCTGCAGCCACATTTTCCCTGCTTTTTAAAGTGTGGTCAAAGAGCTACAACTTCATTAAAAAACTCAAGCAGTTTTCTTAAAAACCGATGACACTTTAGTTATAGATTGGTACAGGATATGTGCCAACCTTTGTTATGAATCTTCTACCCGTCAGTTCACTAATACTTCTTGCCATATGTAGACATCACACTCTATTAATAATTTTCAAAAATTAAAAATAGAGATGGCTGATATCTACTAAGCAAGTCCTCTGTACAGACATCTTTATAGGAGCTTTGTGACAATGACTCCAGGAAGAGAGTATAATTTAATCATAGTTATTATTCAGTTTGAATTTCCTCTTTATTTAATATTACCCATTTGTATTAATGGCCCAACCTCCCTTTATTCTGCCCTCATTCACACCCTCATCATTCCAAAGAACTATGAAAAGTAATTTTAGGCTCACATGTCTAACTACAAATGGAGGTTTGCTTTCTCTGGAGATTCTGAAATTATTTCCAGGGTTCACTTGAGCTGGCTGGTCCTGGGAAGAACGCCTGGCAGAATATGGAGAAGGCGCCCGGGATTGCATGCTTTGGGGCAGTCTGTTAAGATTACTCTCCTTTGGCTTCATCTGCATATTATTTAAGGGGAATTTGGGTCCATATGATGTAGATAAAGGCCTTCGTGACTTATATCTTTCTTCCTGAAATCAAAAAAAGAAACAATATGTTAAAAACAAAAATATAAAAAAAATTCAATCAATATAATTGTATTTAATTGAACTTTGTTTAACTAAAGTAGAAGACTGAACATCTTGGATTTATAAAACATGAACTTAAGGAAGAGCTTCTCTCTACTTAATTTCTCTTTAGTTCAGCTTAACATCACTAGTATTTATAACTTGCTAGTATATTTTGATTAGTACCAGTAAGATTTATTCGTATTAGGAGAAAGTTGGAAAGTTTCAGACACCCTCTGCCAGTCAGAGGTAGATGACTGATAGATATAGAGAGATTGAGAGAGATTGAGATCGAGACACAGAAAATTTGGCATACACTTGGGCCAGCAATTTTACTTCAAGGAATATATTATAAGGAAATAATTATGGCTAGGTATAAGATTAAGATTGAAACTGAGAGAAAGAGAGAGAAAATTTGGCATACACTCATATCTGGAAATTTCACTTCAAGGAATTTATTATAAGGAAATAATTACGGTTATGCGTACAGCTACAAAAATTCTTATAACAGTTTAACAATAAGAAACCAACTATATTGGTGAGTGGTGAGTAAGCAATGGCCTCTCAGCTCCAAACCTACCTTTCTATACTCAGCTTTATGATAGTGGGGCTGGCACTCTGCAAACCCCCTTTCTGCTTTCCAGCTGTTCTTTTAGGCTCTACCACTATAAGGCGCTAGAAGGAGAACACAAGACTGAAAGAGGAAGGCAAGACTAGCCACTGCCAGTTCTGCAGTCTAGTCCCATCAGCATCCCCCCAGCAACCGTTCTTCACCTTGGCAGCAGCAAATGGTTCCAGTTTATAGTTTCCTCCCCATCACAATGCCAGAACTAGCCTCACTGTGGCCCCCTCAGATATCCCAGCACTCAGAGATTTGGGTCTAGCCCCAAATGATCCTTCCTCCAAGCTCCTGAGGCACCAGCAATGAGGAGGGTCCTTCCTCAAAGGTCTGGGTCCCTGCTCATCAGAGTCCTACCTCTGAACTCCTGCGGAAGCACCCAAGAAGGCAGTCCCTCCCCAGGGTCCCTTCCCCAAACGTCTATGTTCTTCATGACCCAACCTCTTTCCTTTGTGCCCCCAGCTCTAGAGGTAGAAGCTACCTTCTGCGGTTACCATCTCCATCGCTTCTGTGTTCCCCTTTTATCTTCTAGTACTCCAATCCTTACTAAGACTTTTTTTTTTTTTTAAATATTAAATCTTTCTGTTAAAATAACAGGTGTGGTTTGTTTTCCTGACTGGACTGACATATCAATTAAGTGCCCAACAATAAGAAAATGATTGGCCAAATGAAGTATGGTAATTTCACACAATGGAATATGATAAAGCCATGAAAAACTGCCTGGTATAAGAATACTTAAGGACAAGAGAACATGTTCATGGTATATTAAGTGAAAAAGGAAGAGTACAAAAAGATATGCAGTGTGTGTGTGCACACGTGTGTTGTATAGAAAAATATACTAAAAAAATTTAGTCATGTTCATCTCTAGATAGTAAGAATGACAGATAATTTTATTTTTATGTCCTTTTTGCTTATCCATATTTTATAATTTTCTAAAATAAGTGAGATACTTGTGTTGTAAGAAAAAATAAAAGATATTACTTTAAAAAGTTAACGCTTAAAGGAAGATTTATATTAGGAGCTATTAAAAAAAAGAAAGACAAAAAATCACAGCACACACATATCAAACAGATTGGAGAAAATAGTAGGTAAATAAAGAAAAACTAAAAAGCAGCTAATGCCTTCTTTAAAATTAATCGTTGGTCTCCCATTATATGAGTTATGATGCCCAGACGACTGATGGATTTGCACAAACTAGTGACTCCTCTCATTCAGTGTCCTTTAATCCCACATATCCAAGGTTTTTTCTAGGATCCCAAGCAAGATTTAGGATGACGAACAAAGTACTTAAAGAAGCTTTACAAATTTCATTCATTCATTCTCCACATTGTTTTAGAAAAGAATTTAAATAGTTAAAAAAAAATTGTGCACAAAAAAGGTAAAAGAAACATAGAAAGAAATCAAGCTTAAGAGGAAATTAGGGCTGAATAAGAGAGTAAAATGGAAGTAGTATTCATAGATGCTTCAAGACCCCTCATGGTTACCAAAGATGGCCTGCAAATTCAACTCTGAGCTTCAGCCTCAGAAAAAGAAAGAAGGAAACACTATTGTTCTTAAGATCAAAAGTAAAAGTCATAGAACAACAACAACCAGTAAAGCTAACTAACTTACACTTCAAACTTGTGATCTTAGCTTCTGGATCATTCTGCTCCACCAACCATATCATGATGAATATGTGCCAAATATACTCACTCTAATGTGATAGGCTGAGCAAATAGCTTGAATACAGAAATTCAAACCTAGCAATAAGTCTCCAGGTGTCTATTCATCCAGTTGCATCTAAACTTGGTAAACTGAGTTCTTTAAATTTGTAGAGAAAAGGCCTGACATTTATATTACTGGCTCCTTGATTATACTTACAAGAAATCTGTTTCTATGCAGAAACACACATTCTCTGATAGCTGTCCTCGTAGAAAACTCAATTTTGGGAGCAATGCCCTAAAAATAAAACAGCATAAAAGAGGCAAATAAGATTATTGGAAACAAGTTCTTTGCCCATCCCATCCTAACTTGAAATCATACAAGAACCTAATTGCTCTTTGTGTGGTTGGCATAATCCACACACACTATCTAAAATATACTCATAATACACACACACACACACACACATACACACAATGAAATATTATTCGGCCTTTAAAAAGAAGGAAATACCACATTTGTGACAACACAGAAGAACCTGAAGGACATTATGCTAAGTGAAATGAGCCAGATAACTAAAGATAAATTCTTCATGATCTCGCTTGTCTAAGGACCCTAAAGTAGTCAAACTCACAGGAGCAGAAAATAGAATGTTGGTTACCAGGGTCTGGAGGATGGGAGAAACAGGGAGATGGTGGTCAAAGGGTTATGCGAGATGAATAAGTTCTGGAGACCTAATGTACAGCAATGTGACTATAGTTAACAATACTATATTTTACATTTGAAATTTTCTAAGTGTTCTCACCACAAAAAACAAATGGTAACTAGTAACAGTAAGTGATGAATATGTTAATTAGCTTGATTGTGGCAATTATTTTACAATGTGGATATATATCAAAACATCAAGTTGTACACCTTACCTGTATACAATTTTTATTTGTCAATAAAATATCAATAAAGATGAAAAACAAAATATAATATATGCAAAATAAGAACAGCTAAACACATAAATCGTATTATGTGCCAAGCCCTGACCTAAGTGCTTTGCACATATTAACTCATCTAATCCTCACAACAACCCCTTGAGGTGGGTCCTAATAGTATCTCTACTTTGTAGATGAGTAAACTAAGGCACAAAGAGTTCAGTAACTTAGCAGAGCAAGTAACTGAACCCAGGCATTCCAACTCCAGTGTTCATGGGGTCGGCTAGTATATTTAAAACATTGGATCATGGAACTAAAAGAGATTACCTAGAGGGAAAGATGGATAGGAATTCTCCTTCCCTTATCTACTTGCTTTGAAAAACTTGTTTTACATTATATTATATTATATTATATTATATTATATTATATTATATTATATTATATTATATTATACTATACTATACTAAATATTTATGTTCATTTATCTACTTCCAAATTCTTCATTTTGTTTTATTGATTGATACTTCTATTTTTGCTTAGTACCATACTGTCTAACATATTGTGAGATATATATATACATATATATGTGTGTGTGTGTGGGTGTGTGTGGGGGGGGGTGTGTGTGTGTGTATCCTATCTTAATTAGGATTTTACATGTGAGGGAACAGGCTCAGAGAGGTCAAACAGTCGGTCCAACATCACACAGCTGGGGATTGGTAGAGCCAAGATTTGAAACTGTCAGACAGCAAAGCCCATCTTCTTTCCATTACCCCATGCTACTTCCTGGTGGGAGGCAAGGTTCATTTATCAACTAGTCAGCTCATTTCCTGTGCATTAATTCATTCCTATGCACATTCATTCCTGTACATTCATCTTGTCTTTGGAACAAATCCTTCTCGACACAACCTACATCCTCAGCTCTTTTTTTTTCCCCTTCTAGAATGCATAGTATGCCCATAAGAGTGCTAGGCCTAGACTGGTAACTCAAGATTTCTGGGCTTATAAACACAAGCACCCAGTTACTGCACAGAGTCAGATAAACCAGGTGACCATTTGAAAAAGAATTTACAATGACACGACCAGCACAGCCTCACCTCCAGTTATCAAGATTGTGAAGAAGGTGGTGAGGTGGGGTTTCAGGGTCACAAGACCTCCCATGTGTGCCAAGCTCCTGACCCCCCATGGCCCAAGTGTCTGGGTCTAAACCACATCATCTCTTAAACCACAGACTAGTGCAGTCTTCTCATTGCTTCATAAGGAGGCAGTATTAACTCTTTGACGACAGTATAATAAAATGTAAAAGCTCGCATTGTGCTCTTAACTATATGCCAGCATTATGCTAAACACTATACATATATTAACCATTTAATCCTCACAATAACCTTGTAAGAGAAATACTATTATCAGCCTCATTTTACAGATGAGAAAACTAAGTTACATGGTGATTAAGTAATTTACCCTAAGTCACAGTCATTGAGTGACAAAACTGGGATTGAATCCAAACAATATGAATCCATATTTAACCACTGTCTATGCAGCTGCTTAATAGGTCTTCAAATCCCTGATCCACTTTGCCTAGAGGGGAGAGAAGGGACCCTACCAGTAAGGAATTCACATTCTGTTACACAGTCCTGTTCAGTTAGTTATATAACCTCCACTCTAGGCAATGATTCACAGATAGTAAGGAGGAATGTGTTTCCTTTCTCACAACAACACCAATTTTAGCATAATAGCTTAGAGATAAAATTTACAGACTCTATCTTGTCCAATCTCCTTAGCAACGGGATGATGCCGATGATGATTAGATCAATAAATGAATTTAACAACTAGATTTTTCTAGAATCATCGCACTAAAGAAAAAATGAAATTAACTAAAAGTTAATAATTTAAAAACATACTGCTCTTTCTGCCTACCTTATAAATTGTCTTCACTTAACAAGAAAACAGATTATATTTTTTAAAAATTCTTGACCTCGGCAGGAAAGGGGGTATCACTTAGGATATCAAGTGAATATAATAAAACAAAACATGGAAATACAAAGAAAAAGTCATATTTTAATGGAAATAAATCAAATTCTTAATAAATTAATAAATTAAGAGAAAATAAATGAAGTGAATGATTTGCCTGACTTGTACCTGTAATTCATTCTCATGTTCTACAATATTAATGAAAAGAAATTGGACATTGGTATAAAATAAACATGTGAGAATTAACATTGAACAGTAACTAAGAGGGCAAACTTTAAAGTCCAATAGGCCAGCATGAGAATTTCTGCTCCATCACTCACTAGCTCTGTGACTGAGTACATTTCTTAAATTCCTTATGCCAGTTTCCTCACCTATAAAGTGAGGAAAAGAATAGTAGCCACCTTGCAAGGTTAAGGAGGACTCCATGTAACGAATTAAACATAGTGACTGGCAACTAGTGAGCACGAATGAATGTCAGCTATCACAAAACTTCAGCAATTGGTTTCATTTTGCTTTATAGCACATTTGAAAGAAAATGAGCTCCTCTATCTTTTTACAAATTGTTTAAAATACAATTTGATTAATTTCATTGTAAAAATTACTTCATCTTCAAAATTACAATTTGAAGATACTTTCCCCTAATGCATGAAGATCTTCCTCCAGTTTTAAAGCCCTTTATCTGATGATTGCCTTCATTAATAAATAACTATAAACACAACTTCCAAAAGGTTGTTCTTCCTAATTATGCCCATAAAGTTAAACAGAGATAACATTTGGAAGAATATAAGTAGGTGTGTTTCTCCTAGTCTTGATACTTATCATACTTGATAAGTATGTTTTTAGATGGCTTTTATTTAATAGAAAACTCACATAAACCAAAGTTAATATGAAGCATATTCTCCACCTGATTCTCACCAGTTCTTATTCCTTTTTAGCTTCTGAAGAATAATATCTCAATAACTCAAAATAATAAAGGCAAGCGTCTCACAAGTAACATGGATATAAGTGATACACAAAGAATCACTAAGGAAAAAAATACGGTGTCAGTGATTTTCTTCAAACCCTCAAAGATAATGCAGGGCTTAAAGTTATGGTCATTAGGAATTCTGATTAGGACAACTTTTGATGAATGTTTGCTATCTGAAGTGTTAGAACTAGAAGTTCTGTCATCATAAATAACATAAAAACAGAGGCCCCACATGTTATATATTTTGCACAGTACTCTCAACAAAATGGAGATGATAATATTTTATGAAATTATAATAACAGTGATTTACTAACAGAAAAGTTGAGTATTAAATATGCTTTTGTAATTCACAAAGATATGGCCCTTAAAATGGACGTCATCCAAGTAACACAGAAGTCGAGAAAATTATCAGAGTTGCTGCAGAGTTAGAAATCATCATGGATAACATCAAAATAAAGATTTTGAATTTGGGTCTAAATAATGTCCCCCAAACAGTTAGATAATTAACTAAATAACTGTTGTGTCTTTTAAGATCCTTCGATAGTATCAGTCTGTGAACCTCTTGTCAGGTTTCCCTCTGTTGAGTAGTGACCATAATATCTGCCTTGGCTGACTTGAGACTTGTTTTGAGAAAAATAAGATATCATATAAAAAACTGAAAGTGCAAAATAAATGAGGTAGCATTATTACTATTACTGCTCTACTTTACTATTATTATTACTAAAACAATAGCTATAATTAAATAAGCTGATACCAAATCTTTCCGTTAATCTTCATTAAGAGAAGGTTTTGAAAAAAGCATCCTTTTTATAACTATGTAACAGTGTGAATATGGCAATGATTTAGCCAAGTTAGGTAAGACTCCTACCTTTCCGATCAATAATGGGACTCAGTATAATTGGTATTTCGAGTGCGGCATCTAAACAGGACTGCTCAACAGGGTGGCAGAGGCACCAACTAAGATGAAGCGATCCGCCCAAGAGTAAGCCGTATCAGGGACAAAATGTTCAGGTTCCAAGAATTTCTCTCCCCACAAAAGCCCAGCTGGGCACAACTCACTGCAGCAGCCCTAACCTTTCTGGCACAAGGGATGGGTGCTCCTATGAAAATCTAATGATCTGAGGTGGAGCTGAGGTGCTGATGCTAGCACTGGGGAGCAGCTGCAAATACAGATGAAACTTCACTCACTTGCTGCTGCTCACCTCCTGCTGTGTAGCCCAGTTCCTAACAGGCCATAGACCAGAACTGGTCTATGGTCCAGGGGGGAAGGCGGGGCGGTTGGGGATCCCTGACTTACCGGAAAACTTGCAGCTGTTTTCATGAGCACCTCCCTACACATCCCAGGGTGTGAAGGTGTCAGCTTGGGCTCAGGGAAAAGAAAGTCCCGTGTGTTTTCTTCATAGTAGGCCAACTCTTCCCAAACTAGAAAGAAAGAAGAAAAGGTATGAGTAGATTTACATTCTGGAAATGATGTATCAACATCCCCAAGTTTAACAAAATAAAAGCTTACAGATGATAGCAGAGATGGCACACAGATAAAAACAGACATTTTGATTGCAGTACCTATTATTCAAGAGGCAGATGACTTCTGTTACTTTTTATCTCGTGCTAATTTTTAAAAGTCTCCCCAATTCATAACAGAGAAAAAAATATTATCTAAAGAGTTGATCTACAAAACAGAACAAAGAGGAAAATCTTTCCATCTACCCATCTATTCATCCATCCTTTCCTTCAACGAATATTTTCTAAAGACATACCACCCTGGGCCAGATCTTAGGAATAGAACAGAAAGAAGGCAGACAATGCCCTGTTCATACAAAGGTTATAGAATAGACTGGGCTTCAGTAGGTTCTGTGATACAGGGATGTCAGTGTCCCAGTGGCCCAGAGAACAGCTAGAGAGAGCTGTAGTTCTTGGCAGGGCTGGTACGAACCCCAGAATCATTTCCAAAATCTGTAGGGACAGTTCATGGGCAGGAACCAAAGGTGCTAGGGTATCCTGCAATGTTCAAGAGACTCCTGCACAACTTTCTTAACATCCAACTAGACATTATTTCAGGCAAGAAACCATTTTGTAACTATCTGAGCCTGAAACCTAACTGTTATATATAAACACAAAGAACTTTTTTGCACAATTTAAAAATACAATGAATTTTCAGGAATACAAGTACCATGTAAATTAAGAAAAAAATATATTTTACTTTGGATCTTCACTGGGACCTTTTTGGCATTTTGAAAATCATGTCACATTTAAATATTTCATTATGCTCAATATTTACATATTGATATACATATTTTAAACCATTTTCCTTTTATTTCTTCTTTATATTACAGTTGAAATCCTATAACTTGTATAAGCTGGTTCTATTAACTATGAATATTATTTCGGTTTGATAAGAGGTATGCTACTCATTAACAAAAGAAGACCTTGGGTCTAATAGGATTGAGAATCACTGAAAGGACAGAGAAGCTGACATTTGAGTCCTCCTGGTCTGCAAAGCAATTATTATATGAGAGGTTGGACTAAGAATGGCCCCTGTACAGAGCACCACCAGATAAGTAATATAGTTGATGAGGTAGCTTTACTGTTTGATGACTGTCTTTTTTATTTTTATTTTTTTTGTGAGACGAATTCTCATGAGGGTATATTTTTAGTACATCATCTGTAAAAAATAATTGATCTTATATCAAATAACATAATGGGTTGATTTTGGTCATTTTCTAGAGATTTAAAGTGCTACCCAGTGTGAAAATGCAGCATACCAAGAGGATATTGTAGCAAGAGCCTAGGTTATAAATAATAAACAAACATACACAGACTGAACAATTCTCATAGGCCAAGTGAAATGTCTGAAAGAATTCCATGTTCTTAATAGGCTAATAGCACAGACAGAAATACCATCACTGCCATCTTTGAATAAGTTCTCCCCCTAAAAGGAAATAAATGAGACTACAACTAATAATTTTAATAACAATATTGGTTTGAAAAATATCTATCATTTATAGAGCATATCAGAATTGACAACTTACTTCCCGATACAGAGTCTTATTTGATTCCTTCTTTACAAATAAGGAAACTGAGCATCTGAGAGTTAGAGACACTTGTCATGATGCCACATGGCAAAGTAGGAATTCAAAATCAGATTATCTGAGGCAGAAGTTCTTTCCTTGCTGGTGCCTAGTAAACATCATGACAAAGTATAAAATCAAGCTCTGGTTCAGGAAATGGGTGTCCACTAAAATAGCATTTTACAGCTGGACTGAATATACATGGTGTATACCAAAGTAGAGGTTTTTATTTAAGAGGTCTATAAAAAGAAAGCACCAAGCTGTCAACCAGGATTATGCTGCCCCCCTGTGCCCATTTGCTTTTTCCCATCTTCGTAAACTGAAGAACCAGAGGAGTCTATTGCTTCTATGCCAAATCATTGGATCTCTTCTTTCTTTAGCAATAAAATTGTTTTAAAATCTGAGGTGCTAGTATCATTAACTTAATGGTCATAATGTGTCTTTTGACTATAATAAGAGTGTTTAAGAGTGATGTGAAAAATAACAAACAATAAATATATACAACAAAATGAAAAGGTAACAATTTTACCGATGAAGAACTGGCCCCTGAGAACCCAGATGTGGCTCGCTCACGTGACTAACACAGTGCAATCCACACAAGACTTTAAGCAGATCATTTTTACTTAATTATCTAGTATCAAGGACTGTATCTGTTCACCTCTGCCATTCTGTGACCGGTGCTACCTGTGTGATACCAGGAAGTAGCACAGTATAGGGCAAGTATATATATAAACCCTTTATAAACAATTGTTGGACAAATGCTGGTCAATCTGTAATGCATCTGAAATTGAGTGAAATTAATTCTTATTTTGAGCAATTTAAATATAATTACAATCTGAAGGATTGTAGCAAAAAGGCAAGCAAGTATATAATAAAGCCTCCATTTTGTAGATGATTAATTTTTGAGTTATAAACAGTATGCATATAGCCAGCTTCGATATTCTCCAATCATCATAGTTTAAAACTATTCTTGATACTTTCTCACAGATGGATTTCTGGTCATGTGAAAAACATATGGCAGTCTAACATATATTAAATTTTAAAAAACAAGTTGTATATTCAACTTGTTTATTCAACAAAAATATAATACTAAATATGCATATACTAAATACTAGACATATTTACTATATATGTATACATATGTGTGTATGTATACATATGTATATATTTTAGGGTTGGTTGAATATACTAAATATATATACTAAATATATCTTAAAAGGTCTAAAAAGACATACAACAAGTTGTTAATAGTAATTATAGTCAGGGGTCGTTGATGAATGTGGCTTTTGGCTTTTTATTTCATAAAATTTGTGTTAATTAACAATTTTATAGCAAGAATATTTAGATATTGGGTAATTTTTTAATTCATGTAAATTAAGTAAGACCAAAATGAGCCTGCCTCTATTTTACTAGCATACTAAAATATAATTTGCCAGTTAGCAGTGATTTATGTTTAGACATAAAACTGGGTCAAATTAAAAAAAAAAAAAAAACTTATGGGAAAAAAACTCAATGCCCTGATTTTAGCCTGTCACTTTGAGGCTGAAAAACTTTCAATGAGAATTTCTGAAAAACAAGTAGGGAACATCTCTGATCTTTCCTCACTTATGTCTAAGAAAGTAATGACATTTACAAGAGTGTCTATCCCTAGATCCATGGAGAATGAGGTTCTTATCTGTTTTCAGAGCCTGTTTCTGCCAATGAACCAAAAGGCAGAAGAAAGAACTAGAGAATCTTGGGACCACTTCTCTGAGGGCCTTGACCTGCTTCAGTGACAGCTACCGCGGATAGGGCTACGATCCTCACAGAAGCCTCTCTAACCACCTCTCCTTTAGCTGAGGCATCTGCCAGGCCCCCTTTCCTTCTCCCACGCTTTCTTAAGAAAAAGAAAAGTTCATACAATAAAATATCAAAATAATGCAATAAAACAGGAAAAATATATATGTATTGAGCATAACTGACTAGAAACTTTGGAAAAAAATATCTGGAATTTATTTCATGCAATGTTACCATCCAGACATCATTCCACAAGTAATCAAAAGATACTGACAGTCATATTACATAGAAGGAAAGAAAGAAAACAAATCATGACATGGGAAAATGGAAAATTGTAAGGAGTAAATCTTAAGTTGTCACAAGTGATATCTAAAAAGAAAGGGCCATAAAATATGGTAAGATATATTTTGTACACATTCTGTAAACACAGTGAATCGAGCATCGGCTAGAATATGCAAAATGGGCACACTATACACTGCTGAATGCAGTTGAAGTAGTGGAAACTTGCTGTGGACCAGTTTACTACCAGGTTACAAGACATGGTTCAATCTAGCAATTCTATTCTTTGAAAATATAGTAACAGGAAAGAATAATTTTTATGAAAATTTGAAAGACAAAGGAAACCTAAATGCTTAACAATATCAATTTAAGGGTAATTATAACACTAATGGAAAAGTACATAGCTATTGAAAATGACAAATAAGTAAACTACAGGTAACAATGTAAAGTGAAAAACCAAAACCTAAAATATTGTATACATAGATTATAAATCTATGAAAACACAAATAATTTAATGAAATTTTTTATAACTATTAAAAATAATGATGCAGAACAATGCTTTTAAAATGACAATGGCGATATAGAATGAGGGAAGCTAAAAATAGAAGAAAATGTATGTGACACTATTTATGTAAAAATTCCATATCTATGTGTTCTTTTATCCACAGAAAAATATGAAGAAACAAGTTCACGAAAATATTTTTAAAAGGATGTTTTTTACAACAAGGTAAAATTGTGGATATTTTCCTTTGGGAAAGAAAAAGGAAAAAATGTATAATAGCAAAAAAAGATCAAAAGAGAATTAGAAATATTTCTGAGTTTTAGTTACTTTCCCTCCACCCCCTGCTCACGTGCTCTTGCTCTCTCCCTCACGCTCTCTCTCTCCCCTGCGCTCTCTCTCTCCCTCTCTCCCCCTGTCTCTCTCTCTCTCTTTTTCAATCTCTCTCTCTCTCCTTCTCTATCTCTCTCTCACACACACACACACACAAACACACACACAGGACTGTAAAATCAGAATAAAATCAGATGATCATCAGCTACATTTAAGACAATGTATGAGTACTGGCAGCAATATTATTCATAATATCCAAAAAGTGGGAACAATGCAAAGTCTATCAACTGATGAATAGATTAGCAAACTGTGGTATGTTCAACATAAAAGAATATTATTTGGCAATAAAAAGGAATGAAGTACTGATATATGCTATAATGCAAATGAACCTTGAAACATATTAAGAAAAAGAAACCATACATAAAAGACCACATATTGTCTGATTCCATTTATATGAAATATCCAGAAGAGGCAAATCGATAGAGACAGAAAGTAGATTAGTGGTGGTTAGGGGCTATGGAAAGGAGGGAATGAGAAGTGACTGTTAATGAGTACGGGTCTCTTTCCAGGTAATAAAAATGTTCTGGAATTAGATAGTGGTCACGGTTGCACAAGCTCGTGAACACACTAAAACAACTGAATTGTACACTTGAAAATGGTGAATTTTATAATATACGAATTAAATCTCAATTTTTAAAAGTATAGAGACTGAGCTCATGAGCCATACAAAAACATACCACAGCTGAATTTGGCCTCAGGGCCAAAGTTTGCCAGCTCTGTTCCAGCATGGAATAGAAAAGATAGCCTCCGGTTTTACAAACATACACACAATGTACTCTCTCCCCACCCTCCGCCCCCACAAATTAGAACATAGTCAAAGGCAAAAACTTAAAATAAGCTGATACAGGACTGAAAAAATTATTTGATACTAATTAGATAAAGTTATAAAAAATGGAAAGTCAAAGAACCACCAAACCCATAAAGTTACTATTCTGAAATTGGACAAAATTCAACAGACTAAAAGAGAAAAAAAAGTGAATATTATATAAAGCACAACTTTTAAATGCCAGTACTCATTCTGTCCTGCCAAAATCCTTTTAAATGTAAATTAAGCTAATTTAGAAATGCGTTTATTGGCACATTACCTGGAGACACTAGCTGTATTAATTCAAACCTGGTTAAGAAGCCTAAAAAAGAAAAAATGAAATTTTAATACTTTAGAAAATCGCCAGAATATTTTACTTATTGCTAACTTTAAAACTGCCATAACATCGCATTTACATTATTAATAATAAGTGCCATACCAACAATGACTCAGTTATTTCTAGACCCAATAAATCAAGGGCATGGAATAACCGTGTTATAAAAGTAGCATTTCATCCCCTGAAAAGTATTGACAAAATAAATGCAATATTTTCTCTCTTAAAAAATATATTCATAAGTCATTTAAATAACAATAAGCTTTTCACTTTAAAAATTCAAAATACAATTGCTATTATCCATTAACCTATAAAAGTTTATCTTGCTAAAAATAGTATGATATGACTATATGTTAGATATAAAATTAACATTTTTTAATATTTTCCAAGTTCAAAATATATTTAGAAATATTGAGCCCAAGTACAATGTCTACAAGGACGAGAATAAAATTCAAAATCTTAAAAGTTATTTAAAACATAAATGTGTAACAATAAAAAATCAAAGATAATTCCTACAAAATGTTAAAAGTGAAAACATTTAAAAATAGACAATAATGGTGAGAATAGTTAATAATACTGTATTATATGCAGATGACCCTTGAACAACATGGGTTTGAAACGAGCATCTACTTATACGTGGATTTTTTTCAATAAATACAGTCAGCCCTTTGTATCTAAGGTTGTACATCTAAGGATTCAACCAACCATGGATGAAATACAGTATTTTTGCATTCCTAACCATGACCACAGATCGAAAATACAGTTTTCCATCCATATTTGGTTGAATCCTCAAATGCAAAGGGCTGACTCTATAGTCAAAAGTTATACTGAATTTTCAACTCTGCTGGGGGTTGGCGCCTCTAATCCCAGTGTGTTCAAGGGTCAATTGTACTCGAAAGTTGCTAAAACCCTTAATCTTAAAGGTTATCACCACAAAAAAGAAATGGCAATTATGCGATGTGACGGAGGTGTTAGCTAATATCTATAGTGGTAATCATTATGTGATACATAAGTGTATCAAATCAATATGTTGTACATATTAAACTTACAATGCTATATGTCAATTATTTCTCAAAAAAAACTGGAAAAATAAAACTTACACAATGCTATATGTCAATTATGTCTCAAAAAAAAAACTGGAAAAATGCACAATAAAAGTAAAATCTTTCTTTTGTAGACTTATAAAAAATATATGAATGCACTCAGACAGAATTTTAAATGCCAAGAAACTTAAAGCCAAGACAGCCCATAGTTCAGGTTTTCCAAGAGGGAGGAGGAAATATATCCTTGCCAATTATCGCCCCAATTGTAATGTTAAACACTTCATTTGTCTCAGGCTCTAAATTCCTTACATTCAATTTAATCTCACCACATTTCATGTTCATGGATTAGAATACTTAATATTGTTAAGATGGGAATATTCCCCAAATTGATCTATAGGTTCAATGCAATCCCCACCAACATCCTAGCTGGCTTCTTTGCAGAAAGAGACAAGCTAATCCTAAAATTCATATGGAAAACCAAGGGAACCCAAATAGCAATAGCAGTCTTGAAAAAGAAGGATTAAGTTGGAGGATTCATACTTCCTGATTTCAAAACATACAACAAAGCTACAATAATCAAGCTGTATGGTACTGACAGATATATGGATCAATGGAATAGAATCGAGAGCCCCAAAAGAAACCCTCACATTTATCGTCAGGTGATTTTCAACAAAGATGCCAAGACTATTCAACAGGGAAAAAATACTCTTACCAACATATGGTACTGAGATAACTGAATATCCAGGTGCAGAAAAATGAAGTTGGATCTCTACCTCATGCCATTTACAAAAATAAACTCAATATGTATTACAGACCTAAATGTAAGACCTAAACTATAAAACTCTAAAAAGGAAACATAGACATGAATCTTGTAACATGAATTAGACAGTGGTTTCTTAGTTATAAAGAAACTATAAAACTCTTAAAAGGAAACATAGACATGAATCTTGTAACATGAATTAGACAGTGGTTTCTTAGTTATAACATTAAAAGCCCAAATAACAAAAGAAAAATAGATAAAATAAAAATCGTCAAAATTAAAAAAATTTTGTTTTAAAAAACACCATTAAGAGGTAAAAAAGTAATCTAAATGGGAGGAAATATTTGTCAATCATACATCTGATATGAGACTTATATGTATAATATACAAACAATATACAACTCGATAATAAAAAGATAAATACCTAATTAAAATATAGACGAAGGATCTAAATATAGACATTTCTCCAAATAAGATATACAAATGGCCATTAAGCACATGAAAAAATGCTCAATATCATCAGTTATCAGGAAGATGCAAATCAAAAACACAATGAGATACCACTTCATGCCCACAAGGATAGCTACAAATCTAAAGAATAGATAATAACAAGTGTTGGCCAGGATATGGAGGAATGGAACTCTTATATATTGCTGGTGGAATGTAAAATGATGCAGTAGCTTTGGTAAACAGTTAAAAAATTAAACAGAGTTACCATATGACCCAGCAATTCCACTCCTAGATATATAGCCAAGAGAAATGAAAACATGTCTACGAAAGAACTTGCACACAAATATTCATAGCAGCATTATTCATCATAGCCCCAAAGTGAAAACAACACAAATGCCCATCAACTGATGAATGGATAAATGATATGTGACATATTCACACAATGGAACATTATTTGGCTGTAAAAAGAAATGAAGTACTGACACTTGCTACATCAAGGATGCCCTTGAAAACATTATGCTAAATGAAAGAAGCCAGTCACAAAGGAATACATATTGTATAATTCTATTTATATGAAATATCCAGAATAAATAAATCTAGAGACAGAAAGATTGGTTAGTAGTTGCCTAGGGCTGGGAGGGATGAGGAAGAATTATACAGGGTTTCCTTCTGTGGAGATAAAAAATGTTCTAAAATTGATTATGGTGATGGTTACACAACTCTGAATAAAACCATTTAATTGTAAAAAATAAACAGAATGGTACCATCCAGTATACCCCATCTATATCTAAAAAAGGAGTTATAACTGAGTCAAAAACATGATTCAAATTTTAGACTCTTGAATATAAATATGGATTGAATGTGGAAGTATCACAACTTAGAAAATAGTAGAATTTTATACCAGTGAATTCTGTGATTTACATACACACAATAGTCTCTCTCTCTCTCTCTCTCTCTCTTTTTTGGTGAATACCTACTTTCTAAAATATCTGCTACAGCTCCAGGATCTACTGCATTTTCAAATAACTGTGGGAAAAAATGTGGAAAATAAATTTTCAGTTTTATTAATATATACTAAAAAATATTGTAGATTATATTCTTCCAAATAATTAACACATACCAAATCCAGCCATAGAATATTTTAGTATTCAACAGGAATACCTTTAACAGGTATGTAGTTAAAAGTTTAACAAATGACTACAGAATGAATGAATGAGAAATCACAAAACAATACCAAGTGCAAGGAAAATCTGAGTTAGATGAATCTACTAAAGTTCAAAATGTCATCAACTTGACCTAGCCCTATTGTTTGTTGCTAAAAGCACTTCTGGCATCAGCTTCAAAGAGTTTTGTTTGAGTACCTAGAAAAACAGTCTGCATACCACAGATACTCATAAAATGTTAACTGAAGAATGACTTCGCTTGCCAAGGAATTGCTTGTGCCTCCCCCGCCCTCCCCCAAAAAAATATACAAATAAAAATTCTATGTGTAACACAAAAGAAAAACTAAGTGTAGTACCTATACCCCTACAGAATTAAAAAATAACTAGAGAGAGACAGCCTCATAAGTTTTAAGTGTATCATGAAGCGCAAGAAAAACACTGAGATGCCTGTCTAGCCATTGCCAAATCTGCATATTCTGTCCTTGAGATAAAAAAGGCCCGAAATAGGACTGATATAAAAGGCATACCACATCTCTCTTCCTGAATGCTAGAACCCCGGAAAGAAATATGAAGTTTTCAGAGGAGCTTGATTTCAGGCATTAAAGCTCTCATTTAAATGGTGTTTAAACTTACACATAGTCAAAATCTGTTCTTGATCCAAACCTTGGTCTATTTTAACTATAAAAATGGAGGCTGACCCCTGAAATTTCTTACTGACTTGAATTTATCAAACAAATGTGAGTAATTTTTTTCCCCCTGAACTATTTCAATAATTGCATCCCTTCACTTCATCCATGTCTAAGGACTTTCTCAAGTATGATCTTGGGGAGTAAATGACCAACACGAACTGCTCAAACACAATAGTTCATACATTCTTTATAAGTAATTTCTTATTTATCCAAATGCTTTACAACATTCAATTCTGAATTATACAGAAAGTCCAAGGAGAAAATGCTTTTTGTTACTTGCTGCAAATATTTGCAGCTAGAGAATGGAACAGATACAACAAATCTGGAGCCAACTGGAAGAAAGCTGGAATATGAACCCAAACAGCTCATACAAGAGGGCAATTTTCAAAATTTAAAATAAAGCACTTATTTAATTGCATTTTATAAAATGAAAAATGCCCCATCATGTGTTTGACTAGTAATCTCAAATACCCAGCTTTACAACAGAACAGTAGTGGCATCTAGAATGTGACTCTGAGGCTCATTCTCTTCTACAAGTCAAGAAAGTGGGACTAGATGACCTCCAAGGTCATTTATCATTTTTTGCTTCTTTGATTTTGTATACTTTGGCTTCTTATACAGAAGCAAATTTAAAATTGATATAATAAGAAAATTCTTGGGGAAAAAAATAGACTAGAATTTTACCACCCTCTTTTTACCATTATCAACATCTAAATGGTAGAAGAAGGCTCTTTTGGATTCTGACTGTATGTTTTAAAGTAATGTCCACTTATTCCTCTCCTCTCTTATACAACCAGTTTGGTAGACTTTATTTAAATTAACGGACTGCAATTTATAAAACATTACATATAGCTCTAGCCTGTTAGGAAATCAATCCTCATTTCCTCACCCATTCTCAAGTGGAAACAGGTCATTTTCTAGCACCACCATCTACATCTTTAAAAGTGATGGGCTTTACCGTGGATACTTCCCATATTCAACCTCTCCCCAAAAGAGGTGGGGCAAAAACATCAGACTTATCAAGGTTAAAGGAATCGGATTGATTCTATCTCCAAATTCCAAAATAAAAACTTCAAAGGCTTATAATTGCATAGTAATGAAATTAACATTCTGAAGTGGGACAAAGGTTGGTAATGGTTTGACTATATCATGATCATATTCATTGGAATGGAGTCTAGCTTTATCATTGTTGCTAAATAAACCAAGTATGATTTAAGAAAACTCAATAAATCTGTAGAGCCTTCTCGTTTTGTTATAGGATTTCAGATATAGTACTTAACTAATCTGAATATAGTGTTCTATGATTTTTCTGAGTCTAAAAAAGTTTGTTTCTAAGGTCTGCTTGTTTATTGATAATTCCTGTCATAAATGTAATGCAACTGCCTCTAACACCTCCAAGAACATAGAAAATGCTCTCTCTGCTCCAGTTAGAAAATGCCACGGGAGTTCCAAGAATAGAAAACATCAGCCAGAGTTTTTAGCACTAGGTTGACAGAACTTGGCTCATACCCAGGCTGCAAAAGCAAGTCCTCCAACAATGATTTTGTACTGTTCTGAGGTGCCTTCAAGTAATTTCTTAAAAGGAAACTTACAAAATAACTTTATAAGAACTGTATTCTTTATAAGAACCATTAAATGATCAGCAAATTTTAAATTTCCATTTAGCAGTGAGAAAGTCAAGATCACCTTTTCAAATGTCATTCTCTGCTGAATCATAATAGGGAACACAGAGGGAAAGCAGGCTGTTTCCAGGTACTGATTCAAGAGGTAAACCCCAAGGTACACATCTTGCTTGTCAGGAAGGAACACTCCTGGGCAAGAAATCTTTAAAAAAAAAAGGGGGGTGGGGTGGGGAGGGAGAGGGTCGAGGAGTAGAGAATAGGGTTTGTTTTGTTTTTTTAAACGGGGCCCCATTTTCCCTAACCAACAAACACTGCCAAATTTCCCCCAGTACCGCAACCCCTCACCTGAATACCCTCCCCCTCTCCTCTCCTTCCCCAGATTGTAAATCCAATTCAACTCTTCGTCTCCGCCAGGTGTCACAATCGTCCTCTCGCGCTTTTCTTTCCCCGCCCCTAAAGGATGGCAGTGCGGAAGCGGAAGAGGCTGCAGGGCCGGGGAACACGTCTTTAGGCCGGCTGGGTCCCGGGGTCCAGGCCGCTCTCCGCAATGCCGAGCCCCAGGAGGAATGTCGAGGGACGCCCACTGGGCGCCGCCGCCTCAAGCAGCAGCAGCCCCGGCAGCCCAGCCCATGGAGGCGGTGGCAGCAGCTGCAGCAGCAGGTTCGAATTCCAGTCTCTGCTCAGCAGCCGAGCGCCAGGAGCGGATGCCACCTGCCCCCGGCTCCGCGCGTCCGAGAGCCCGGTGCACCGCCGAGGCTCCTTTCCTGTGGCAGGAGCGGGCCCCTCGCAGGCGTCACCGCCCCAGTTGCCCGAGGAGGACCGCATGGACCTGAACCCGTCCTTCCTGGGCATCGCCCTGCGCTGTCTCCTGGCCATCGACCTATGGCTGTCTAAGAAACTGGGGGTGTGCGCGGGAGAGAGTTCGTCCTGGGGAAGCATGCGGCCCCTTATGAAGCTGTTGGAGATCTCTGGACACGGCATCCCCTGGCTACTGGGCACTCTCTACTGCCTGTCCAGGAGCAACAGCTGGGCCGGGCGTGAGGTGCTGATGAACCTGCTCTTCGCGCTGCTGTTGGACCTGCTGCTGGTGGCCCTGCTTAAGGGGTTGGTCCGCAGGCGCCGCCCGGCCCACAACCAG